TGCTACTATCTCAAAATGTTATGCCAGTTAAATTTTAAACATAACGGTTTATTCTTTGCTCCTAAAGGAAAACTTCTCCGCAAATTGAGAAATTGAGAATCAGAGAAGTACTCAGGTTTTAGAGAATTTTATATTTTCCACAAATTGGGGAATTTATTTCTCCCGCACAGAATGTGTGTAATCGTGGGTTTTTGTACATGATTGATTTTCAGCGCGTAAACTATAAATTACGACGTGGCACAATCTTAGTCACTAGTGGTACATATAAATTATAAACTTTTTTAAAAACAAATATTATGGAAAACGCAGGAAAAATTATCGGAGCATTAGTATTAGGAGCAGTTGTTGGAGCTGCAGCAGGAATTCTTTTAGCACCAGACAAAGGAACTGAAACTCGTAAAAAATTATTCAACGGCGCTAAAGATTTAGCTGAAGACTTAAAGCAAAAAGCACAAGACAGTTTAAACAGATTTAAAGATGTTGCTGAAGAACGTGCTGAAGAGTTTACAAAGTCTGCAAAAAGTCAGTATAACTCAACAGCTAACAAAGTAAAAACAGATTTAGCATAATAGTTAATTCCAGGACCTATGATTATGGAAGAACAAACCAAAATTGAAGAAACCGTAGATAGTATTAAAGACTATATTAATACGAGATACGAGTTGGCAATCCTGAAAGCCTCTGATAAAGTGGCACACATAGGATCAAATACATTTTCATATTTGCCAATAGTTTTCTTATCTGTCTTAACAATACTTATGTTAAGCGTTGGTTTAGGTCTTTACCTTAATCATGTATTGGAGAGTGAATTTCTTGGATTCATTGTTCTTGGGGGCGCTTATTTGTTAATTGTATTTATACTCACGGCAATAAGAAAGAACTCAATTGCAAAGCCATTTCGCAATATGATCATCAAAGAATTATTCAAAAATCACAACCTGTAAAATTTAACAAGATGAATCAGCCAATAGTTATACAGAACGATACCGATTTACATCACCGTATCATGAAATTAAATAACCTGAAAGAAGAACAAGAACTGGTTATTAAAAGAAATGTAAGAGAGCTAATTTATTCTTTACATCCGTCGATGATGGTTAAGAATTTACTAAGCAAACTAGGTGGTGATAAAGAAACGACATCCGATCTAAAAACTGCGGGCATTAATCTTGGTAAAGACTTCCTTATTTCAAAAGTGTTTGGAAGAGGCGGGTCGATCGGAGGCTTTATATC